GGAGAGAGGGGGTGAAGAGGGGTGAAGAGGGGAGAAGCAAAAAAATGTGGTGTAGGGACTGGACACCAAGCGGGCTTCAGGTGTGTGTTGAGGTGATTGTGGTCGTGATGGCGGGGGGAACGTTGAGATGGCAGAACCCCCCTCGCTTCATTTCCCTCCCCGTCCCTCCCTCTTTCCCACCTCCCCTTGCCGCACCAACGAAAACAACACCACGGGCGCTGCTGCTGCTGCTGCTCTTGCTCTTGCCAAGGCGTGTGGCGGTGGAGGTGGATGGACCCTCACACTTCACGTGCTCGCGGCCATTCCGGTGTGACGGGCGGAGTGAAGGCGGGGCCGGGTTCGAGACCTGTATGTCGAGGAGCGCACGCGCGTGTGTGTGTATGTGTGTGTGTATGTGTGTGTATATATTGGGGAGGGGGAAAGGAAATACAGGAGCGGGAAATTGAGAACAACAAGAGCTCCGAGATGAGTTCTTTTCCGAGATGGAGCAGTTCAGTGGTTTCGGAGCTGCGGGTTACCCTAGACTTAATAAGGTCAGGTGCATGGGAGGAGATTGTTTTAGTCGAATACAACAGAGCTTCCATACATAACTGTCCTCCTCTCCTTTTTGTTACTTTTTCCCGGAGCTTTCCCCTGACTGGCTGCTGCGCCACCTCCGCCGTGCATGCGGTACCGCCCGTACTATTTTTCAAACCTCCGTACAGGCCTCTTGGTCGTACACTGGCCAAACGGCGATGCTTGGAGATTCGGGGTTGGCGAGTGCTGTCCGTACCCGGACACGAGTGGCGCTCCCTGGGTGGTGACCCGCACGCGGAGGACCGCTACATGCGGGCGGCACTTGACGGGGCGTTGTGGAGGACCCACGTGCTGGAGGGTCTCAGCACGGCAGCGGCGACGACGCCAGTACACACCACCACGACGACAACGAGGACGGCCTCGATGTGGACGTAATCGTCGACACCACCGACGTCGTCGTCGGCACTGCCGCTGACCTGATATCATTGGCATCATCGACATCATCACAAGGGCGTCGTCGGGTCTCAAATTTGTGTCGACTCTATTATTGACGGAGTTGATCTTGAAACATTTTGTGAGCGTTATGTCGTCATCATTATCATCATCCTCGGCGCCACGTCATCAGGGGCATCTATGCCGTCGGGTCCAGCAAGTACGTCGTTAGCTGCTGACCCGGCTGCTGCGGCCGCTGCCGTCACCGCGTGTCATGGAGTCCCGAGTACGTGTGTATGTATGTACATGTATGTATGTCCGTGTGTGCAGAGATAGGGGAGGCAGGTGGCGGCGCGGCGGCGAGTTGCCCAAGTAGTGTATGTACGTATGTATGTGTGAGTCGCGTGAGTGAGATATATATATGTTGTTACAGGGTGGTTAACTTCGCCAGCGGCCCCCTTTCCCGGGGCAGTCCCTGCTCTCCCCTGCTAGAGGGGCACCCTAATCCCTCACCCCATCCGACTTCAGAATGTATTCGTTGGGTTCGGCAACTCACCACCAGCATCCAACCAAATCTAGCGGATCAACGGCGCCTCAACTTAGTTCCTGGTCAGCTCGCGAGTTGATTTTATCACGTCCTACACCGTCCACAAGATGGGGGGCCATCTCCCATTTCAACACTCCTCAAACTCCCGAGGAGCCGGCAGGCGGATTTGAACCCGGGTCGGCCGGGAGCAGAAGTCCGGCCTTAACCCCTGCCAGCCGCCTGAGATATATGTATGTATGTGTATACGGTTACATCTTGTAAGGTTGCGTTACTACCCGCCAAAGGTATCAGAACGCCACGCGAGCGACGAGGGAGGGAGGGAGGGACGGCAGGAGGGAGGGGCCCAAGGACGCCGGACACACACACACACACACACACACGCGCGCGCGCGCATATATCTTAATGCAAGTGGGCAGCCTCGGGCCTTGTAATGCCATTACGCGCATATTCATAACTGTCTCCGCCACCCTGCAATCACACCCTACGTCGACACACAGGCGGCACACAGGCGATATACATACTGACTGACTCTGTGCCAGAAACCATCCTCTTTCCTTGCACCCACAAACACAAACACACCCATAAACACTGCCCGCTCTCGTGTTTCAGGTTCAGTGCGCGACTCGTGTGACAGAGCCTTAGCGAGAACGTGGGCGCGTGCGATGCCTCCTACCCTTCATATGCACACACACACACACACACGCGCGCGCGCGCGCGCGCGACGGCTGCCCGTTGGCGGCCCCTATTGCGCCGCGCACTTGCGTCTCTAGCCACGTGTGCAAATCCCCCAGCCACGCATAGCGCTGTAACCGGGCAGACCGTCGCATACAAGGATTTTTTATTGGGCAGCTAAATAAGCGGCAGTCCCCCAAGCTTGCGTTACCGCTTAGATCCGATCCTAACCTGTCCTAGCTGTCGCGTTAAATAGATGTCGTTTTGCTTGCGGCGCTGAAACAACAACAACAACCAAGAAACAGATACAGTGCGGGCTCTGGTCCTTGGAAGTAAAAACGCGGATCCCGCCGTTACGTTCACCGCCTATCAAAAGCAATCCATGGGCTGTGGCAAAGCGTGTCCGGCCGGGAGATATTTGCATTACTAGCGTTTTGTTTTCAAATAAAAGCCCTTGCCGCCATCTTCCGGGCCCTTACAAAGGCGTTAATAAAAAGGCTCCAAAGCGGCTGATGTCCATTGATTTAAAACCAAAATTCAAACTCTAGGTCCCCACCGCCTGCCCTTCCTGAATAACAGCAAAACAAGGTTATGAAGCAGCCCAGTGCTCAAACCACAAACGAGCGAAAAACCTACGCAACCCTGAACTTCGAAAATGTTTTCTCGCCGTACGGAAACGCGTATCTGTCATAGCAGCGCCTCCACACCGACGTTGCCAAAACAGGCTCACATCGCGCGGGGCTCTCTCAGAGCTCCCGATTGGAAAGGAGCCAAAGCAAGGAATTGGAATGATTATACATACATACATACATACATACAGAGAGATGCAGTGACACACATGCAGACACACATGCGTGCAGAGGAGTGATCCAACCACCAAAAACGGTTCGTTGGGCAAATGTCACGTCGCGTTGGCCGTATGGGTCCACAATGCGCGTATACGGCACCGTACGGCATCATGCTGACTGCCCGATAGCGAAGGGCGCTACCACCCGCCGCTGTCATCGCCACAGCCTCGCTAATCCATGAAATTGCCATCACTGCCATTTATCACTCCCATCATCGCAAACACAGCCATTGCCATCACCATCGCCGCAGTCACCATCACCATGATCATCGCAACCACCAGCGCATCAGCGGCCGCAGCGTCAATCAAAAAAATCAAAGTCATCAAGACGAGGTCAATCGGCTACGAAACCAAACCAATGCACAACCAAGAGGGTTGGACTCGACTGTCACTCGACTCCTTTTATGTATGACTCCACCTTTATTCTTGTACTTTATACATACGGCGGTGAGCTTTCAATGAATAGATTCAAGAACATCAATCATGCCATTTCAGTGCGTGTGCGTGTGCGCAAAGAAGGAACATCGCCTACGTGTCTACGCAAGTGCTTGTAGAAGTGGAAGCCCCCCTCGCGGAAGTACCCTGTCAGCACCTCACCGCGATTGCAAGCTCAAACCACGCGCCGCCACCACATGCGCCGTACATCCAACTGACCGCCCGTCCGGTCCAACATTGCCCGAACACTGCAAATGTCCTTTTGGGGGGGGGAACAGAAAGAAGCCCTCCCGCCAAAACAAAAGAACCCCGCATCACACACACCACACATCAGCCGATCCAAAAGCCAAGACCCACAACTAAAACCCAACCACCCTCTTTCCCGCCGCTATCTGTCAAACCCGCACGGCGGGCTCTCATACATACATGTACGACGCAAGACGGCGCCCAGGGTCTCCCCCTCCGTCGTACCCAGCACAGCCCCCGCCGCACCCGTGGAGGGCGTGGCGACAACAGGCAAACAGGCCGACCAGCGGCCGCCGGCCGCCGAGGCGAACGGCGGCGACACCGACCATCTACACGCGGGCGCCACCAACGTAGGCGGCGTGTGGCTGCCGTCGCCGAGTCCGCCGCCACTGGAGCCCTGGAGCCCACTAAAGTCCTCGCCGGTGGGGACGCTGCTGCTGGTGGTGGCCAGCTGCGCCAGGCGAAGGGTGCGCAGCACGGACGCGTGGCCGCGCTCGCTGGCAGTGCGTATTGCAAAGTCGGTAACGTCCCACGGGTCAGCTCCAGATTCGAGCAACATGTCAACGACGTCCACATGGCCCTGCTGGCGGTGAGGCGACCCGGGCGGTCATCACCATGCTTCGTGGCGGCGGCGAATCATTGCTGCTGTGACCGTCATGTTCGGCAAAAAAGAGCCCTTCTTGCCATTGACCTAAGCCTCACCGCGGCTGTATAGACCAACTACCAACCAACCAACCAACCAACCAACCAACCAACCAACTAATAACCCCTTTTATAGAACCGCAATGAGGTTGGTAGAGAGATTGGTGCCAATACCGCCGCCTGGTAGCCCACATTCCTCACTTCATTACTACATCACGCACGAGGTAAACGTCTGCGTCTCCATGCAGGCAGAGGGCTGCACCCCGAGTTCCGGAGCCCCGGAGTGTACGGCGCCGTACCTGAATGCTCGCCGCCACCAACGCTGAGCTGTTGCACGCCGCCGGATCAGCCCCCGCCGCCAGCAGCACCCCGACCAGGGTTCTGTAGCCCCTGGACGCCGCCGCCTCCAAGGCAGGCCGACCGTGCCACCGGACATCCGCGCCCGCACGGAGCAGCAGCTGCACGAGCTCTAACGACTGCCTCTCGACATCGTTGCACGTCTTTTGGCTGTCGGAGTCGCCGTCGGAGCCGCCAGCACAGCAGGGGCTGGCGGCTGCGGCGGCGGCAGCGGAGGGGTACAGCAGGGCGCCGCCGCCACACCCCGGCACCCGCGGCTCCGTGGCGGCCCTGGCTGCCGTACTGACGAAGACGGGAAGCTGGCAGGCGTGAAGGAGCACGGCACTGGGGGGAAGAGATGGACAGACAGACAGACAGATGTGGCTAGACCGACAGACAAACAGGCAGACAGGTGGGTTTTAAATGGTTGGCGCATATAGGCACTGCAGGTAGGAAAAAGCTGGTATGCATATTGTCTCCTTCCATACCTGCACATGACTCGTACATCAGCGCCGTACTGGAGCAGTGTCCTAGCTGCTTCAATGTGGCCGAGCTGTACGGCACGCCGCAGAGCGCGGCTATGGTCGGCCGCCGGGTCAGCGCCGGTGGCACAGAGCACGTAGACCACTTCGGGGTCGCCGTGGGCCACCGCGGCTGACAGCGCGGCGCTCTGGTATGCCGCCGCCGGCGCGCCAGCCGCGAGGAGGGCCCGTACGACTTCGCGGCGGCCGGTTTCGGAGGCAGCAGTGAGTGCACGTGAGAGAGCAAACGTGCTGGGCTTTGCTACCCGAATCAGCTCGGAAACCACGCTTATGTGTCCAGCACGGGCTGCTTGCATCAGCAGCAACGCATCATGGAGCGCGAGCTGCACGAAGGAAAAGGAAGGTGGCGCACGTGCGGTAGCGCGGGTGAGGCTCGAGGGGGTCAAGGGCGCGACGAGTGATTGGTAAAAGCGTGTTGGGAAACAGAGGTATGGATGTTGTCTCAAGGAGAACAACAAAGGTGACAGTGCAAGGCAGGACCGCAAAGAATCTGATTTATTTTTTCAGATTGATCTAGCCTTCCCATTTGGCAACTTCTGTCAAGCTGTTGTATAGCGTTGACGCACCTCCGCCCCTGCCTCACAAAGCTCCCGCAATATTTCAGATATTATTTCATCTTGCTCCTGGGCGCTCGCTCTATGCGATAACTGGCTATGATGACTCAGACTGTAGAGATGCCGGACTGCTGTCAAGGGGCCATAACGCGCCAGGAGAAAGCGTGATGCCATGGGCACAAATGTTAAAGCGTTCCTCCACATAGCCGCGAGCAGCTTGCACGTCCTTGCAGCAGCTGGGCCACCGCTGCCAGAGTTGCTCAGAATAGTTTGAATTAAGTGTACAGGCAATGCTGTAAAATGGCACATCCTGGAAATCTGACAAATGGTAAAGTTCCCAAGCATACACGAGCTTTTCGAATATTTGCAACTCGCGAAAAACGCTTCAGTCACTGCCGACTAGTCGGAGTCCTCCAGCAAAGGATTGCATGTACCGATATTTGCAATTCCATTGGATGACCATTTTACATTCACCGTAGGCTGATTCGAGGCCATTTCCTACCAAGCCCTGGCTTTTTTCAGAGCTAAAAGCAGAATCGTGCGTCTTGACGATCGAAACGATTTAACCAACGAAAACATCTTGAGAAATCTGAAAATGTGCCACGTAACGCAACCAGTTTTAGGACTGTTATACAAGGCAGCAACCCTTAGCCGTACTCCATAAAGGTCCACATCAAAGCCGTGCCTACAAATAGGGGGGTCCTTGTGAAGCAGCTGCCCGCGTTTCCAAAGCACGTATGGTGTTGGATTGTAAGGTGCCCAAGTACGTTTGCGAGGAAGAGAATGTGGCCAGGCTGGAGAGGAAAGTGCAGTGGGATATTGGAATGTGAGATTAGCGTAAGCGAGTTACAGGGCATTTTATTGCACGGGCGAATTTACGTGCAAATCTTTCACTGTAGCATCAGTCGTCAGTTCACTTCTTGGAACGAACATCAGCATAGGTCCAAGCCCTCTCGCTTGGAGGGATATGCAAACAAACATCCTGATAGGGGTAAACTCGCACGCTACCGAGCATTCAACCGAGCACATGCATGCTTAGTTGAATGGTGAGATGCGACCCCCCCTTCATTTCGTGCTCGGCAAGCCTGCCACCGCGTACCGGATATGTTGGCGATGTTACAGAACGCTGCACCTTGGTTTCTGTGCGCATTGCGTACGTTGCTCGACCCCGCCGACCAAAACTACACGTGCCCAACTGAAGGCATTCCCGGTGGTTGTGCAGCAGCTCTTGAGGCTGTTGCTGGCTGAAATCCATCCTGAGCTGTTGCAACACGGCTAACGCGGGCACGTCCCTATGCACAGCAAATAGCTGTCCCAAGCCAACAGCGGCGTCCATGTCACCGACAAGGCTCTAAACTTCTTAGCTGTTCTTATGTTTAATTAAGTTTATGTATGTTATACTTTGCGCAGCTTTGTAATTTGACTTTACTCTGAACAAGATGCTGCATACAACTGCCTCTTCGCCAGCGCTTCATCTTCCGCGGCAGTTTCACGAGCCCAGAGTTGCAAGCTACGACGTTGGCTTTCGGTGCTTTTAGTTACTGCAAAGCATCCACGCAATAGTCCAGCCTGCATGCCGCGTGCGGCTATGGCCAACATGCCCACCTGAGCAACGCGCTGGCGCACCTGGTCCTTTTCCGCCAAGAAATTTTATATACACTTGTACAGGCGCATTTTGAGAATCGCACGCGCGCATCCGCGCGGCAAAATTCGCTCCTGGCTTTTGGGACGAAGTACGGAGGGTTTCTTCGGCACAGTACGACCGGACACATTTGTGCGAGGGGCTGCTTAAACATCGCCAAACTGCCAAATACCATGATTTATCGATCGTGATACGACCACCTACTATGAAAGGCACATGGACTGCGCTTGCAGGATAAGGTCCTATTGCTTACTCAGCCAGAACGGCTTGTCGCGCCTCAACCAACAACCTTCCCTCGGAATCTTCGTTATCCAGACCCAATATCGCTTTCCTTTTTAGACCCTGTACATGCACGGCACCGCGGAAACGAAGGTCGCGCGGAGGTCCGAATGAGGCATTCATGCGCTAGATTGTGCGAGCGCATATGCAGGCTGAAAATGAATCAAATACGGAAATCAACACACCTATAGGCTCTCTGAGTTTTGCTATGTTGTGTTATCTGCGAGAGTTCTTAAGGCCCAGAAGAGCCAGGACGCTCATAGACCGCTAGCGAAGTCAAAAAGAAGGAAGAAAGGAAAAACTCATATAAGGCACGGACTCCATATCAGCCTGGCGTACATCTAGGTTGAGGAGCCCTTCCTGTAGACCTGAGTTTTGCAAATACGACGGACGCGCGTTGCCTGGTTCTGGAACAGGTGAGCTCCTTTTTGAGTTGCGAAGCGTCTGTGTTTCTTAATTTTTGAAGAGCATCGTAGTGCTATTGAACGTGCTGACTTGGGACTTTGCGGCCTAATCGTCGGTACGTCCGATTCCCTTCTCCATCCCAGCTTTGTTCACTACTGCCCCGGAGGGGCTGTCGTGTGCTCGGCGTGTAACGGAGTCTTTGCGGAAGACCGCCAGCGAACACCATGAGCCAGACCTATGAGCTCCTGAAGTTCGCCGGCGCTTGGGTACACAAACAGATTTTCCAAAACACGTAATGCCCAGACATGAGCCACATTCCGTTTCATAATAACTCCTCAGCCGCTCCTCAGCCGCCCCGCACACATCGTCATGCAACGTATGCATGTAACTGGGTCCCAAAACATACATACATACATACATACATACATATATGCGCCCCTAGTTGATGGACGGTGGTGACCTGGGATAAAATTCACCTGCGAGCCGACCAGGAATGGAGTTGGGCCGCTGTCGACCCGGCAGATTCCGTTGGATGCTGGTGGTGGGTGCGGAACCTGAGCGATTCACTGAGAAGTTGACTAGGGTGACTGGATGAGGGGGCCCCGAAATACCGGGGAAGGCAGGGTTTCGCAGGGTAGCTGCCACGGGCGAAGATACACCCCCCTGTTTCACACATCATACATACATTACGTGTAAGGGATTTGTGTTCGTTACCGAGTAGGTATGGTTTGGCTTTGATCAGTACGACTCTGTGTCGTGCAAGGCTGCTTATTTAAGGCATCTCTACACCATTATTTGTAAGCTTAGTATTCTTCTCTTCCTTGTCTCTCAGCCAGTGTTTGTTGTTGGGCTCTGCAGACCAGGCAAATTAGGAACTAATGCTTCGGCTAGAGTGCTCCGGTGGTCGTTCCCGTTAGGTTACGGTTAGGCGCACCTTGCCAGGCACCTCTTCAGCCACTCATTGCTCTAAGCCCGAAAGTTTCTGTCGATAATGTGCTTTCGAAATCTGGTATAAGATGCCGAAGTCTGTATGTTATATGTACATGTGTTTAAACTCTTCATTGAGACGCTAGCTGATCTGATTGATACTCATGACCTTGTAGAAGCTAGAGTACGTAAGCATGACACACCCCTTGTGGACAGCAAGCGCGTCTCCATACTGTTGTATGCAGACGATGTTAGTCTGCTAGCTACGTCACTAGAGCGAATGTCTGAGTTGCTACATCTTGTGGACTTGTTTTGTGAAGCCTTTGGGATGCGACCAAGTGTCTCAAAGTGTGAAAGGCTTGTTTTTGCATGTGATGGCACCCAGCAGTCGGAACTTAGCGGGAGATGTCAACAGTTACGGCTATCAGGCCAGGTAGTACCTGCCAAAGATAGCGCTCGCTATCTGGGCTTGGTATACGGGCCAAAACGGCCTTTTGGTGCGTGCCGTCAGCAGTTATGTGATACAGGTCGGTCCGCTATGTTTTCCTTAAGTGCAACGCTGGACAAAATGAAACTGTTTGCCCCCGACGTGCGAATGCAGTGCTTTGCATACAGTCCGAGCAATTCTGTTGTATGGCTGCTAGGCGTGGGGCCCTTTTGCACTGGCAGAGGTCGTGGACAGGGCGGGATGTTTGAAGCCCGTTTGAAGGATAGCCCAGTCCAGCTGCAGATTTTATTCATGAGGCAGGTAGTGGGGGCGGCACGGTCATCACACAGGCTGTTGTATGCGGAGCTGGCTGAGCTCCCCTTACAGTATTACATGGTGAAACAGATCCTCCGTTTCTGGAACCGCCTTCAAAAGCAAGTGCGCGTCCCTTGTTCATGCAGTTTTACGGCAGGAGATAATCAATGCTCTGACCAAGCCCGAATGGGTGGGTTGGGGAACCTCCTTGTTACGACTGTTTTCCGTCTTGGAGCGGAATACCGCAAGAAGCCATGGGGGTAAAGGAGCGTGTTGACTGGTTGAGTAGGCCTCTACCCGAAGGAGCGATGATAATGGCACTAAGGGAGCATTTGATGAGCGGCTGGGACCATACGCGTCTGACTGTCTTGCCAGAGGAGTACCCATCAGATGGGAAGCAACCAGGAGTGCAAATGGCGAAGTATAAGCACTGGATGGGGCTGCCTTTTCGGGAGCAGCAGCCGTCAAGTGGCCAACACATGCTAAGGTTTACATTCCTCGTTTAGCACATCGTAAGCTAATGCAGTTTCGTTTATGTTGCTGGGCTCTGGAGGCAAACAGAGCATGAAGAGGCAAGTACCATGTCCCCAGGGGGCAGCGGTTTTGGATGAAAAACACGTGTTATTGGAATGCCCAGCCTATAATGATATTCATGCTGAAGAGGGATTCGATCATCAACAGAGCGTGTTGGAGGCCATGAAATGGGAACCAGTACGTCTGGCGAGGATGTTGGAACGTATGTGGGCTCACTGAAACTCAATTACCCCCTTTGGACGCTAGTCTGGGCTGATGTGCGGTGTTTTCCTTTCCTTCGTGGCTTTTAGGCGTTGTAGTATTGCCATTAGGCCTTCGGCTCGAATGGGTAATCTTACAGGTACGGGGTCATGCACCCCCAACCATGTAACACACACACACACATGTGTTTACCCATGGGACGTTGGGTGCTCGTTGAATTTTGTGCAAGCCGCGTCCTGCTTTTCCTACTTTACCCAATCTCAGTGGTTATCGCGGTTTGTCGCCTGTTCGATCCCGAGTTAAACATTCTTAAGTTTGATATGTTTAAAATATTTTCAGTTCTTAACAGCACGTTGCATTATTAAATTGAATGTTTCTGATACTCCGCCATCTCAGCAGTCTGCAGGTTGGTGAGTGAACCTCCGAAGCCGCCTTCCTGGCCTC